TAATGGAAGTATTTGAAATACATGAAAAATCATCTTATTTGCCAGAATTTTAAAAAACTATTCATTCGTTTCACGTGAAACATGGTTGCGCAATACTTCTTTGTATAACCCCATATCATCTCCTTAAGCCAGGTAGCTGCATCAAAAATTTTTAAGCTAACTCAAGTATTTGTATTTACAATACAAATCGTATCAGCTGTTCAGATTTTAAATAGGGTAGCCATTAGAATACTTAATACGTATCTAAATATTTCTAGAGATAGATTTTGAATCTAGACCCTGTACATTGTCCTGAGCAAGGGGCATTTTGGATCAGTCTAATGTGAATGTCTCACCCACTCCGGAACTAGAATGAAAATGCCGAGGTAAACTCAGCCATGTCGACCAATAGTGATATTGAACTGTCCAATTCTGATGATTGTGAAAAGTATGTAAACCGGTTTATTCAGGAATTTCCTTTACGCCGCGCAGAAATCGGGCAGGGTACCGTGATTAAACGTGCCTTGCCAAGCAGACACAAGCGCATGATAGGTGCCTGGTGTTTTCTCGACCACGCCGGTCCGGCCAGTTTCCCGCAAGGAGATGGTCTGGATATCGGACCACATCCGCATATCGGGCTGCAGACTTTTACCTGGATGATCGAGGGCAGCATGATGCACAATGACAGTCTGGGAAATCAGCAATTGATTCGTCCCAAGCAGGTCAATCTGATGACCTCGGGCTATGGTATTTCACATACTGAAGTCTCTCCGGAAAGTGAGATCCATATGCATGCAGCACAGTTGTGGATTGCCTTGCCGGATGACAAGATCAATATGGCACCCGGGTTTGACCATTATCCTGAATTACCGGTGGTCAATGAGCAGGGTATCGAATTTACCGTGCTGGTTGGAGAATATTTAAATACCAGATCGCCGGTTAAAGTGCATAGTGAATTGCTGGGCGTGGATCTGTATGCAGATGAAAGTAGCAGTATGCGTTTGCCACTGAATCCGAAATTTGAATATGGCTTTATGGTACTTGAAGGTACGGCCAGTATAAATGGACATGAACTGACAGAGGATAATATGCTGATTCTGGAGCCCGGGTTGCCGCAGGTCAATGCTGAAATTCATGCCAGAAGCCGGGTGTTATTGATTGGAGGAGAGCCATTTGAAAGCCCGATTTTATTATGGTGGAATCTGGTCGGGCGTACGGTAGAGGACCTTAAAATTGCACGGGAACAATGGATAGAAGGGCATGAACGTTTTGGTTCTATTCCAGCCTATGATGGGCCACGTTTAGAAGCTCCTGCATTTCCAGAGCGGATGCGTGCTTCACGATAAATGCTAAAATGATGGGAATATAAAGCGCTGGCTGAATTGAACTCAAAGAGTGAATCTGCAACATGGGATACATATCATTACAGTCATCAAAAAATGAGCTGGAGTCGGCTGCTTTTTGCTATGCTCAATGAGCAAGAACAATAAAATCATGAGTCTACTATGCGTG